AGCAGTAGCCACAACCACCTGCTAATAAACTACTAAGAGAAGGATTTTTGTTGTTGTTGTTTTCTCCTATGGTATCTATAAATACAGTGTCCTGACAGAGAAAAAAATAGAGGTTGGACATACTTTGATATGGAAGCTGTTAGGTAAAAAAAAAAATGTGTATGTATACCAGAGGGAGGGAAAAGTAAAATAGCTGGTCTTTGTTTTCTGGTGGTTTGGGGGACTGAGCCTAGGGTCTCACACATACTAGGCAAATCCAGCTACTGAGCTACATCTCTAGCCCTACTCTTGTTTTTCCAACTCTGAAGACTGAATCCAGGGCCTTGCACTGGAATACAATACTAGTACCCCACCCCTTTTTGAGGAAAGATCTTGCTAAGTTGCTAAACTGCATATGCTGGGCTCAAAATTGTAGTCCTCCTGCCTCAGCCTCCCAAAATGCTAGGATTATGCATGTACCACTACACTGGCTATAGTGCTATTCTTTATTTTTTGTCTTTTTTGGACAGGGTCTCACTGTGCAGTTCAGGCTGGCCTTGAACTCAACTTCATAGCCCAGGCTGGCCTCAAACTCACAACAATCCTTTGGCCTCCACTTTCCAAGTGCTAGAATTGCAGGCATGCACCCCATGCCTGGCTCTAGCTCTATTCTTAGTTGTCCAAATGTATAATATTGTGTAATACAAAGCATTACTTTATTGTAAAGGAAGACAACAAAACAAGATTCACAATATCCTAAAGGAGTCTATGACCCACTAGTTTTCTACATAGCTAAGAATAATTCACACATAAGGCATATTCACACATAAGGCATAAGAAAGACTTTAGTTATATTTAGTCATATTTTAACTTTCAGTATACTTATCTGAAATAGCATGATCAAAAAAATGTCAAATGATGTCTATATATAGGGTTTTTTTAAAAAAAAAATGGAGTGTTCTTGTTTAGAAAACTGTCTTATATCAAAGCTACATAAAAATGGTACAACTTTAGGTAAACAAATATGTACTATTGTTTATAGATTTAAATCATACTGTTGTGTTTGTACACAGGAGTGATACACATGATTCATATGCTACATTCAAAAATTCTTTTCATCTTGCAACAGTGTAAAATATTCTTTTATTAAGTGGTTGTACTTACTGTAATGCTGAAAAGAAGTGAAATGTGGCACTTCAATATAGGAGACAATATTGTAAAACAGAGATCACAGAAGTCAACACCTTTTAGATGTCAGACACTCCTAACTTTTTTTTAATATCTAGCTTATAACAGCCCTGTGAGAAAGATATTACTATGCTTTGTTAATAGATGCGAAATCTGAGGTTAAAAAAAGATGAATTACTTGTTTAGGACCACATAGTAAATAATTTAGAATGTAGATTTGAGCACAGGCTGATACCAGAGAATTCCCTGTAGCAACCATCCTCTACTGCATTTCTAATACTGAGACTATGAAAAGCAACATAAAGGAAAAATAATGAATAAGGATTTATAAGTTTCAAAGGCATATGTTCTACCCATATACCTATGGGAAAATTAATCCTGAATTACGTATATTAAATGAGAAATAATATTGCAGCTAAGTTAGTTATTATTATTATTATTTTATTTTATTATTATTATTATTTTTTTTTGTGCGGAACCAGGGATTGAACTCAGGCCCTTGCCCTTGCTAGGGAAGTGCTTATTCTGCTGAGCCATCTCCCCAGCTCCCTAAGTTAATTATTAACACAAAGATTTTCAGAAGTTTTAAAGGCCAGAATGGTTGCTAAAAAGAATTTAAACACAATATTGTGTCTAAATACATGATTTCAAGATGAAAAGGAAAGTGACTGGGGAGATGGCTTAGCATCATAAGCACTTGCATGGCAAGTACAAGGTCTCAAGTTTAAAAGACCTGGGCCCCACATGTCATGCTGGCCCCAGAACCACGGTGACACACACCTGTAATCCCAGCACTCCAGAAGGATGAGACAGGAGGGTTCGCTGTGAGGTCAGCACTGGCGTGGGGGCTACAAAAGTGAGCACAAGGCCACCTGAACTGCATAGTGAGACCCTGTCTTAAAAGAAAGACAAAAATAAAATGATAGTCTCGCAACATTCCTTTTCCTGTCTCCTGCCTTCATTCACCACCCCCTTCTTTTTGAACAATCATCTACCCAAGAGACAGCATGGCAGCAAATGGCATGTCATGACAAGCAGCCCGTATTCAGAAGACCAGAATGACAGGCACTCCAAGCATGAACCTACTATTACAAATTGCCATCTTCAGTGCAGTTGCTTAGTTCACAGGTTGTATATGGTTAGATTTCTGGACTTATGTGTAAACATAAGAACTATATAATTCTTTATGCCTATTTTAAAAATATATTTTAATTTTTTTAATGTTTTTTCATAATATTCTATAGGGACTTAAAGTTCAACATATCAATACTTGATGAAAAATACCTGTTTCATGTTATACCTAAGATGTTTGATATTCAGACAGATAGTGAGGTTAAGCTTAACAGCCTAGGTTGTATGGTAATAACAATAAGCTTGTTTTCTGGAGGGTTAACAACGTAAGTTTGCAGATCAAAATTAGAAAAAAAGGAAGGCCACAAGGAAAGCCCACAGTTTGGCTCTAGTCTTCCAAGGTCAATTAAGACTCAGGACATATGAGAACTTGTACTGTAACATCATATAACTCAGTAGTGTCCCAAATGTTCTGATCAAGGAGATTATGAGGCCAAAGAGGAAAGTGACTGATGATGTAGAGTGTGCCTAAGGAGAGTCACATGGAGAGAAAACATTCTCTCAGGCTTTCACAGAGAGCACATTGGCCAAGCAATGGCCGTGACTCATCCACATGGCTGACACTGACAAAGGATCTACAATCTGAGGTACAGGATCTCAGGATAAATCCTGAGGGGATTTCACTGACCTTATCAGACCCAAAAGCTACAACTCTTGTTGCATAGGTCTTGCTTTTCTTGGTCTTAACCATCCAGCAGAAAAGTATAAAAACAAAGTACAAGAAGTAAAGCCATGGTGTTATGTTGAGCTGTAGGGGTCTCAGATCAACAATTTCTGACATTGCCAGTGAAGCGGAAGACCCAATACTATTATGGACTACTGGACTCTTTTAGAATATTTTGCTGAGTTAACACACCTATAATATTCAAATGACAGAACTAAACAAAAAAGGGGGTACAGATGAATGTCCATTTTGTATCTGTGTATTCAAAATGGTTAGAATAGATATATAGGTACATTCTCTTAATGAATAGAGGGATTTGTTCTAATAGTGTTTGTAAATAGGATATCATGTCCGCATCTTGTACAGCAAATAACCACTAGGAAGAGAGTATGCAATGTGTTAATTATTGAAACTGTCCTACCAATTTGATTTGAAACTGTCTCATTGCTGTTTATCAATAAAAGTATGGAAAAAACACACAAAAAAATAAAATGATAAAACTTTAAAAGAAGCTCAACAATGTAAAAACAGTCATCTGAAAATAATACTACTTAGAAAATTCTACATTATACCAAGAAAATAGGAAATAACAAACGTTGAAAGAAAGTTATAGAATGGACAAAGGAATAAAATAGAAGATATTATTTATATTTAATCTAAAATTAATTTTTATGGGCCAGCAAGATAGCTCAACTGACCAAGCACCTGTTTTGTTAAGCACAGGGACCAAGGTTCAATTTCCAGTGCCACATGCCCCATTGGCCCCGCCCATAGGCGTGGTGGTGTGCACCTGTAATCCCAGTGCTTGCGAAGCTGAAAACAGGATGATCCCTAGGAGACTAATCTGTATAGTGAGACCCTGTAGATCCTGTACTAAATGCAAAAATAAAATAAAATAAAAAGTGGATCAGAGTGAGGAAGAGGAGAGGATGAAGGGCTAAAAATAATTATGATAATATATATGTACCAATTCCCCAGAAGGAATGTAATAACTATATTGCAGGTCCAATCAAATAGCTTAGCGGATTAAAGAACCTGCAAGCAGGAGCAGGGGCCGGGGGTTCAATCCCTGGGCCTGGCATGCTGGCCCCACCCCTGAGGCACACTGAGATGGCAATTGAGACTGGGCGTGGTGGTGCAAACCTGTAATCCCAGCTCTTGGAAGGCAAATCACTAAGAGTCTGATCTAGTAGTGAGACCCTGAACACCCTGTAAACACTTCCCTAAAAATACAAAAACAGACAAACAAACAAACAGACAAAAAACCTGTATATTGCAAACATACAACAATAAATAATTTTAAAACAGGAAGTTTGAAAAGAAAAGGTAGACCAAAAAAAAAAAAATACAGAAGTTACATAAATGTAAACCCCAAGAGGTAAAAATATCACATAATAATTTTTACAATCCACAATATAACTCACACAATTTTATGTAATAATATATGGCACTAATACAAAGTAAAAGGTCTAAAATGCGAAAAGAAATGTAAGTACAGAAGTATAGGGAAGCTTCTTTATACATGAAACTGTAGGTAAAAATATAAAGCTAAATAAAGTCTTGTCTGATGTCAAATAATATATGCCTTATCCAAGTGAGAATTTAGACTTAACAGAAGTCAGATAACTTTAAAAAATAGATTTTAGAATGACCTTTTATATAGTTATATGAAGAGTGGAAGAATGAAAATAGGAAGACAGTCTTAATGAACTGCACTCTGAATTCCACTGCCCAGAGTAGTTTGACAGCTAAATGCACTTCTAAGAACAGCTACCTTAACAAGATTGGCTCCAGTATGGATATAGTCTATTCCACATTTTTATACCACTTTAGTCTTTACCAAGTGCTTTCACATTCATATTACCTTAAATATTAAAACAAATAGGAAGAGATAATGACAGTGATGTAAAAACAAAATTGAAAGTCCTGAAAGCAAAGAAAGGAACATGAAGCAAAGAGGGAAATTCCTGTTGCTGGCTGTTGGTATATAAAATGCTCTTTACATATCAATTAAGAATTTCCTTTCAGGTTCAGCATTTCTACTCCCTCCCAGAAGAGTATCCAAGCCTAACCAGGAGCAGCAGCAGCGATAAAGAAACATGAACGTGAAAGGCATGGCTATAGTCTTGGCTGTAATACTCTCTGCTACAATTGTTCAAGGTATATTGTACTTATTTTTCACTCTATAAATTCCTTCTGTAGTATTTCTAATGTCTTTTTTTTGCTTTATCCCAAAATATATGAAAATTTTTTGTTTAATCTCACACATCAGAAGGTATAACTTCGACAGAATTTAGAGGAAATATTGGTTTTGGTTTTGGTTTTCTTTTTGGTATTGGGAACCGAACCCATGGCCTTACGCTTGCCAGGCAGGCATTTAAAGCCCAGAGCTATCTCCCCAGCAGGAGAGAGGAAATTAAGACACTAAACATAGTTACTAAAACCAGAGATAATAAACTTCAAAACAAATTTTTATTTGGATACAAAATCTAGTAAGAGGTTTACTAACAGTCTTCTGTTTAGAAGACTTTTTTAGGGAATTGTATAATGTTCCTGGAAAAATTATTCAGCATAAAAAAGAAAGGAAAAAAAAAAAAAAAAACAATAAGGCAAACAGCGAACAACTTCACATCTAATAAGTGCCCTTCATGTTTCCTGTGATTTTGTAATTAATAGTTTACAAATTTAAGGAGAAAATCATCAACATATAACTCAACTCCTTTATCAGTACACAAGTATCAAATACTTTTTGACAAATTACTATCTTCATCCTTAATGACAACTCATCTCATTTTTTCACCAGGATAATAAAACATAGTCATCTGTTCCTATTAGATGTATTACTAATCAACGTTATGATTTGTTGCTCTAGCCTTCCCTATGTTCAGAAGTGGACGATGTTTATGTATTGGTCCTGGACTGAAAGCTGTAAAAGTGGCAGATATTAAGAAAGCCTCCATAATTTATCCAAGTAACAGCTGTGACAAAATCGAAATTATGTAAGTAGTAGATTTGTTGAATAATATAATTGTGGAGGCTTTTTGTTTGTTTGTTGTGTTCATGTTTCCCCAACCAAAGCTTAATATTATTTTTTATCTTAAAAGTATTACTCTGAAAGCACATAAAGGACAGCAATGCCTGAATCCTAGGTCCAAACAAGCAGGCCTTATAATCAAGGTAGGTTGCTCAATTCAATTACTTCTATGATACATTTTTTTTTTAATCCAAAGCCAATCTTGGAGGAAAAAATAGACAACTGTAGAAAGATTCTGCTATGACCCTTTGTCTTTTTTTTTTTTTTTTTTTTTTTTTTAATGCTATACTGGGGATTAAGCTTGGGACCTTGTTCTTACCAGGCAGGTGCTTATGCTGCTGAGCTGTAGCCCCAACCCTGCTGTGATCCTGTGTGACATATTCAGACCTTGGTTATCATAGCATCCTTTTCTTACTATGTGTTTTTATATATCAGCTCTTAATTACTGGGAAAAAAAGAACAATTGTCTAATAAAATTCTAATTTTCTCATTATAGCAAGTTAAAAGAAAGAATTCTTTAAAACATTGAAATATGTGAAATTCTCAAAAAGATGATCTGAAAACCTAGAACAATTTCACTGGGACTATGATATCTCTAGAAGATTTAATACTTTTAATTATTTTGCTGTGACTATGAAAACATTTGTTTCTGAAAGTAATCTGTCTGTACTTTGAGCCATATTTCATATTATCTTTAGTTATGAAGGCAACATTAACATCATTAATGAAGTCAATTTCTTTAAACCTTAAGCATGCATATATGTAATAAAACATTCCTCAAATAATTTTTCATGAAAATAGTTTCCCAAATTTAAGGTAGTACATAAGTTCTTTTAAAAATTTCTTATGTAGCACTTTGTCTTATAAAAGATTAATTTGTGAAATGTACTGTAAAAAAACTATAAGCTATAAGAAATTGGTAAGAACATAAGTATTTTGTAATTTGAATTAGCACTGATCTTTTGAATTTTCAATATTTTTTCCCTGAGATATTTTAAAGGAATTAGGATACATGTGTTTACTGTACATTTTGCCTTTATTCTTATAAATGACAGTGTCTTATACACATTTTAAATATAAACTGTTGAAAAGTGAATGCCTGTCTGGTGATAATTTTTACTTTTTTTAAACTAAACTACATAATCTATCAGTTTAATTTTTCAGTTAACATGTTTACAATGCACCATGAACACATTGTCATGGTGAGCTGCTACCTGTAGAGACTGCATCTTAGTCCTTTCATTTCTCCTTTCCTTTTCCTCCTCTCTCTGCCCATCCCTAGACATCCTTCCCATTTGTAAAAGTCCTACCTTCGTGTTTCCTATAGTTTATCTTTTATTGTGCTCTTTAAATTAATTATGCCTGTACTATAAAATTTAGAGATATATAAAATTGGGTTCCTTTGAAAAAGAAATAAAAATACTTTTCCTAGTAAGATGTCACAACTCTTCTTAAAGCAGAAACAACCAAATGCTTTCTACAACATTTGAAATACTTTTAACGCCTTACCTTATAATTTAGAAGCTCACAGCTACTTGTCACCATGCAGAACTGTTTTATTTTAGTGGGTAGTTGTGAAGGACAGCTAAATCTTTCACTTGGAGCCTTTTATTGCAAATACTTTTTTTACTTAGAGAAAATCTCCTATGTGAACCATGGCCAAAAGGAGGAGATGCCAGCAGCCAGCGAAAGGACTCGGCCAAGCTGATCCTACCTGTCCTACTCTCCTTGTTGCTGAGACAGAGTACATGACACCTAAAGTTAAAGAAGGAAAGGCTCATTGTAGCTCAGAGTTTGTAGAGGTTTCAGTTCAAAGTCGGCTGGCCCCAAGGCAGGGTGGAATGGCAGAGGGGCATTATGGAGGAGAAATAATTCATTGGTGAGCAGAGGGTAGTAAAGCAGAAGACTGCAAGCAGTGAAATAGCAAAGCAGCAAGCAATGACAGCAGCCTTCCTTCTGTCCCTCATAGAGGATACATCCTCTCAGGATGGGTAGCACTCACACCCAGGTGGGCCTTCCCATTATCCGTAGCCAGAACTAAGCCAAACCAATCAGCGGACTAATTTAGTCAACACACACAGCTTTGATTCCAGCATCATACAGCTGATATACAGCTTTTCTACTTCTGAAAAGCCCCATCTCTGACCACATGCTTGGGGGGGGGCGGTCATCTAGACACAAGACATAACACTATCATAGATACGAACTCTAGCACACAAAGATGCTGTCAGAAAAAAATTAGTTAAAGCAGCAGCACCAGCAGTGTTATATTAATGTGTTCCAACATTTATTGTTTGCATGACTTTGACTACTCCTTCCTGACACCTAGCTAGCTTCCTTAGGTTCCTGTCCATTTTGCAAGCCTGTTTCTCCAATCTTCTTGTGGATTCTTCAATGATTGTACCAAGGAAGTTCCTTTTTTCCTTAAGTTATTGGAGAGTTGGTTTCTCTGGTTGTACAGTAACAGTAAAAACCCTTCACACGATATGGCACTCTTTATGGCATGTCAAAGCTACAGTTACAACCACTTGCCTTTTTTAAATTTTATTTATTTATTTATATGTGTGTGTGTGTGTGTGTGTGTGTGTGTGTGGCCAGCTCAGCCCACCAGGGGGCGGGGCTGGCTGGCATGTGGTGCTGGGGGATTGAACCGCGGTCCCTGTGCTTTAGCTAAGCTTGTTCTAAGTAGGTGCTTTAGACCACTGAGCCATCTCACCAGCCCTTTTTTTTTTTTTTTGGTGGAACCAGGGATTGAACTCAGGCCCTTGCACTTGCCAGGGAAGTGCTTATTCTACTGAGCCACCTCCCTGGCCCCTTTTTTAAATTTTATGTTAACAAATGTAAAAAAGGCAGTTTTGTTGCTTACATACATTGACCATATTGCATATTTTATATGAAGCCCAACACAATTCTTGTTCCCTTTTGTAGCCCACGCAAGCCAAAAGAGTAGACATACCTACTAGTCATCTCTACATTTGAAAACTGAAAACATGTGTTACAGAATTACAGTCAGATATATCTTCACATATTAATACAATAAATCTATATTAGATAAATTCTTATATATCTTCACTGGATAGTTTGAAAAACTGGATCTATGCCTATTTATAGTGATTTGTGAAAATCATCTTCAAAAAATAAAATTTCACTGAGTCAAAGCTGCATGTAAATTCAGTATTTTTAAAAAGCAGATTATGTGTTACAGACCAGTACATTATTACCCAGAAAGTCAAAAATTTCTTCATTGAAAAATAAAGACAAGGGCTGGTCAAATAGCTCAGCAGATTAAAGCACCTGCAAGCAGGCGCAGGGGCCAGGGGTTCAATCCCCAGGGCCTGCCATGCCGGCCCCACACCCGCACCTGGGGCACACTGAGACAGCAATTGAGGCTGGGCATGGTGGCATGTGCTCATAATCTCAGCTCTTGGGAGGCTGTAAACAGGTGGAACATTATAAGTGTGAAAAATAAATACATGAGGGCTGGGGAGATAGTTCAGTGGTCTAAGTTCCTGTCTGGCGAGCACAAGGACCCGAGTTTGATGTCTGGTACTATATGTCCTGTAGGCCCCAGAACCCTGGACCTGCTGTGCTGGCCAAAAAACTGGGTGTGGTGGCACATGCCTGTAATCCCAGCACTGGGAAGGCTGAAACAGGACGATCACTATGAATCCAAGCTAAGTAGTAAGATCCTGTACCAAATATATACATACATTCATACATGCATACATACATACATACATACGTGGAAATACAGCACATTTGGGCCAAGGTTCCTTTTACTTCAGCATCTTCAGACTATTCTCTCCACCCATTTTTTCATTAAGCTAGTGCTACTCATTATTACGTCCTGGCCTAAATGGCATTTTCTCCAGAAGCCCTAAGGAAGCATTCTTTCAACATCAACTAGATTAGGTATCCTATTTGTTTTTATAATATTTTCTACTTTTCCATTATACTACCTATTGCAAATGTAATAATAAGGAATTATTCCTGTGTGCAGTACCTGCCCATCCATAAATATAAGCTTTGTACAAAAGACACTGTGGTCCTAACCCATAGTGCAACACCTCACACATATCAAACCCTGTTGAATAGTAATAAAAAGTGGAAACATTTAGAGTCCAGGAATAGTGTGAAGGGACAAACAGTGGTAAAAAATAAAAAAGTACAAGGTGCTTTTCCAGATGATAATTAGATTTATTTAGTTGGAATGAAGGATAAAGGGCATCAAATGTCTAGCTAAATAACCTTAAGTTTTAGTTGATGCAGAAAAGGCTTTTTTTTTCTTCATTTATTTATTTATTTATTTGACATCAGTTATTTTTATTTTAATGAAAAAAAAATAACATCAATGGTACAAAATCTCAAAACAAGATTTTAGGAGAGTAACAATGGTTAGTACCTTGTGTATTGTTACTGGTGAAGTAGTTTCTCATATTACAAGATAAACCCAAGAAATAATAAACAAACAACATAGGTACAAACCTCTGTTTTTTTTTTATAGTCAACAGAAAATGGAAATATACTTTTTAAAAATTCTAATACTAGGAGAAGATATCATACAATGTCTTTTAAATAAATTGTAAGTCATTTAGTATAAATCTTAGAACAAAAATTAAGATTAAGCAATATTCAGAAAATTAAATGTTTCCAAACAATTGAACTCAGAAAAAGTTTTCATGATAGCAAAAAAAATTGAACTCAGAAAAAGTTTTCATGATAGCAAAGAAGTACTAGAGTAAAACATAAGATAAATACTGGAGGGGCTGGAGAGATGGCTCAGTGGTCTAAAGCACCTACTT